ATGTGAGGTAAAGCTCTCCTTTTTTAATTTAATTGGCATATTTTAATTGAATTTATTTATTGGTCCATTTATATGCTTCTGCTTTTTTATTCTAGTTATGTCAGTGTTGGTCCTCCATACTGAAGAACTTGGACGAGGTAATTCAATGTCTGAATCAGGTGTGTTGGAGCAGGGAAAAACATAAAACCTGTAGGGCTGCGGCCCTCGAGGACCAGGACCGCCCACCCCTGATGTAAACATTTAAGTTAATGAATATTTTCTATGGATAAAAACATTCAGGAACTTTATCATTTAATCAAACTGCTGATTTTATCGCAATTTGTTACTGAATTCTGTCTGTTTTACATTTGTTTCTATGCAATTTGACTTGCACTACTCTCGCCCTTTTTTGTAATGAAATCTATCGATCATGTGAATGCTTCCTCATCTCCACTCTCTGTTCATCCATCAGTCCATCTATCCATCCATCCATCCATTTACCCCACCATCCATTCATTACCGTATGTTAGTGGTGAAGTGAACTCACCTAATGGGGTTATGTGTCTCCAGGAAATGGTTGGCTCAGGTTTCCCACTGGCTGTGCAGATGAGTGACACGTTGCTGCCCTCGTTTACCGTGATGTCGGAGGAAATGTCATATATCTTAGGAGGAACTACAAACCAAGGTAAAAAAAAACAACAAAAAAACAGAGAGAAACAAAATGATTAAACTGCAACTTCCCATCCAGGCACTTGTCATCTTTAGACTCCACAGAAAGAAGTTCTGCTGAACATATTTATGGCCAGAAAAGAAACATGTTCGATATTTAAATCAAGCAATCCATCCAGGGCTTAAACGTCCCCCCTCTTTACTGTATATGAAAATCAAACAGAGTTCTCTATGTTCACACTGTGATTCAGTCTGACAATGGCAACTTGGTAAATATGCCCTGTATGGGGAAGGCTTGATTTTCCCCCTCGCCAATCACTTGTAATCAGCTTCTCCGGTAACATTTTCAGGTTACATGAGCCTCTGTGCTGCTAAAATGGGTTAAGCAAGCTTGCAAAGACTACAGGCAGAAAAATGTGTCTTGAAAACAAAACAAACATAAAAATAAAGATAAAAGACTGGGCCTTTATTATGTTTTCCTTTAGAACAAGACACCTAAGGGTTATATTTCCATTTTAACAGACAACAAAAGCAATTAGCTTTTAATTAACCAGAAATAAAAAAATATCACCTTTTTATGCTGACAGAGTACCTATTTAACTATTTTGTTCTGCACAAACACCAGTTTACTAGTTTTATGGAGAGTAATGAAGTTAGATAGTTTAGGTAATGAAGTAAACTTCAGATCAAATGTGAGAATATATAATGTGTCTTCACTGTTTGTTATACATGTCTTGTACTGTCATAAAACATGTGTAACACAGTGGGACAGCCATGTGTGTTACGTTCTGTGTGCTTGAGAGAAAAACAAACGGCCTCATTTTAAAAAAAAAAAGTTTACTTTTATTCTAAATAGCCATAACGGTTTAGTCTAAATGAGGTCAACACAGACTCTGGTGACAAAATTTCAGCAAATTTTCAGTACTGAAAAATGGAAATCTGTCAAAATAAAGTAGCAAATAAGGCATAAAGATGGGCAGCTACGTAGTTCTACGTGGGAGAAATGTTGTGTTTCACATATTTTAAGTACAGTTTGAGCAAACTAAGTTTTAAACTTACAAAATTTCCATGAAAAATCAATTATTTTCAAGAAAAAAACACCCATGTGGAGCCGCCGAACAGTATTATTTTTCCTATTATTAGTCATGACCTGCTATTTCTATGTCCCTTACATAACAACAACTACAAGAGAGCAAAAACAAGTGCTTACGGGAATTAAACTGACTTTTTCTAGAAGCAAAAAGGGACACAAATAATAGCCAAATTTTACCGAACTTTCGTGAGGCTGAAGACCTCCTGGAGGACTTGGCTGACCAGTGGCAGAATGTTTTTAGGCTACAAATACACAACTATACAGAGTGTTGTGCAGGAAATAGTGATGATACAAACAACGCCCTCATGCAGAAAATGACAGGATTAAAGTGCCCGTTGCATGCATATCCATGAAATACAAAAAGTCAAAGAAAATATATTTATATTTAAGAAACTTGGCATAATACACATGATTTGACCCGTTATGTCACATAATTGCCATATTTTCTTTTGAATTTTACTCAGCTAAAGGGAAACAGGAAGTGACATCAAAGGGGAACTCTGAGAAAGAACACTCCCTGATTTTTGCTTATTTAAACATTATTATTTGAACAATCTTTCTTATCTCTCTATGATGCTAATTAAAACAATCTAAAGAAATGTCAGATTCTTCTYAACAGTCTATGTTGTTAGCCATTTTAGCAATGCTCTGTTTACATTCCCTTTGACACAACTTCCTGTTTCTTTACATGTGAATATCTCAATAACTGTTCATCTCAGCGGCATGAAATCTTTTTTACAATATGTTATCAATGTTATCTTTCCAAAAATACATTCATATTTATTATAAAAATTTGATGTCACAGGCACTTTAAAATAATAATGATAATATTACTGAGTTTACAGAACTGAAAGTAATTTTGAGTTTCAATTGTCTTAGATTAAAAAAAGTTGCTTTTACAGTAAACAGGTCCTATTCTGTGTAGAAGTCTGGCTATAACCTTGATTTAAAATAAACAAAAATAATATATTTTAATCTCCTAACTTTACTACATTGCCTCATTTGTGTTCAGAGCGCATTCTGTGCAGCTCTCAACAAAATACTGAAAAAGACAGTGTTTTACTGCAAACAGGTATGCTTCTTTGCTGGTCACCTTATATTAGATTTAAGGTAATTAGGCTCTACACAGTGATTCATTGTGAATTTAATAAAGTCCTGTTATTCTACAAAAGGGGTGTCAAACCCAGTTACACAAGGGGGCCTACAATTCAAGGCTTGGTCCAAGACAAGGACCAATCTCTGTCAATATTTACTGAATGAATATTGGTTTAAAATGTTATCGAACAAATTATTTTTATAGAAACACAGTTTCCTTTTTCCAAATTATATTTTATAAAGTGTTTAGAAGACACATACCCTGGTCCTAAAGGCACACTGTCCTGTATGTTTTAGACGTTCCACTGCTTTAACGCACCTGATTCAGATGATTGCTGTTCAACAAAAGCCTCTTAATCAGTAATCAATTGAAATCAGCTGTGTTGAAGCAGGGAAACATCTGAAACATGCAGGGCAGTGTGCCTTGAGGACCACGGTTGAAAAGCACTGCTTTAATAAAAAGAAAAATGATTAAATTTAGGAAGACATATAAGTAACATTTATTTATTTATTTATTTATTTATTTATTTATTTATTTATATCTACTCGCAATCATTTAATTTGTTATTATGTTTAAACCAGAAAATCTGTAATAAAAAAATACTTGACTACTGTAGAGAAAAGACTGCATTGACAAAAAAAAAAAAAGAGAAACGATGACGCTATTTTACATTCAAAATATTATATTTGGGGCCAGATAAAATGTTAACAAGGGCCAGATGTGGCCCGCGAGCCTTGTGTTGGACATGTGAGTTTGTATGTGCTTTGACATGAAGTTAAACTCCTCTGAAACAATAAACTTGAGAGCTTGCATTTACTTTAAGAGTAGATATATTATAAAACATCATGAGCATCATTATGTTATGTTTTAATGTCATAAAGACAGTGGCAACATTTCAGGTGTGTTAAAAGCTGTATTTACCAAATCTAAAGACCTCAGAAAGTTAGCATTTTGGGAAAAAAAAAAACAGCATGATTTTCTTTTATTATAGAGGGCAGCTCATCAGCAGTCCCTGCTGGACATCACTTACAATCATAATTGGCAAGTTTTAAGCCACTTAAATCCTCTTGGTGCTTTGATGTTAAAAGCTTCGGTATTTAGGCTGCTGAAAACACAGAGACACACATGCAGCCACCCACAAAGGCATTTAAACACATTTCACTAAACACACATGCAGGGGCATGTGCACACACTCATACAGGCTTATGAGCCACTATTTTAATCTGCTAGATTTGAATCTCTGAGGGAGCTTTTCTGCACTGGACTGTGCTATACAGTAATGGATTCTCAGTCAACTGGGTCCAACTATTCTACTCTCTGATCCTGCCTGATGCCCGCTTAAAAAAAGTATAACAACAAAGGAAAAGTTGATTCAACATTTTCCAAAGTTCCTCTTTAGTAGCAGCAACATTTTCTCAGTCACATGGTTTTCTCTGTCATTGAACTCTGCCCTTCCACTAAATCCTCTCATCATTTGCTTAAATTCACTCTATTCTGAGTTACAAAACAGAGGATTTAGTAAAGCACCACACAGAATAAAAAGAGGCTTGTTAAACTGCAGTTTTTCTTCTTCAAATATGTTCTCAGATGTAAAATGGGTTGCCAATAAGAATAAAAAAAGGTRACAGATTTGGGTTTTTGTTATTATCAGATAAAACAACAGCTTAAACAAAGACAAATTTACAATAAATGTTGGTTAATACTTTTTCTTTTCTTCCATGTAGAATGAATCAAACTTTTGTTACTGTCATGCACATTCATGCTAAGCATATACAGGCTTATATAACACTATCAACACTATCAGCGTTAAACAATTAGGCAACACATTTATCAATWCAACATAGTAATTTCAACATACAAGATACAATGCCGTTTGTCTAACCACCAATGCACTCTACACATTTTTACCAACATAAACATTTCCTTTTGAAGAAGCCAACTCCAAATATCTCCCTCCAAATACCAAAATAACTCACAATTTTTACAATGGATCTTGTCAAACAGATATTCTCAAACAATTATACACAGGACAATACAAAAAAAAAACAAAGAAAATACATCTTCAACTACACTCAAATCACACAATACACACATTGTTCTTCCAAAACCCCTTTGTATCAGTCAAGCACAACCTGCTCTCAACTGTGCACAGTTGAASTGTTGTCTATCAGTGCAATAAAGAATAACAACCTAAGAATCTGTCCAGATAACAAGAAATAAAAAGATCAGGTTAGGTGTGTTGGCTTGTTTGAGGAACTGTTTTAAYTGAGGGGTTTGGTTAAAGATACAGCGAGTTAAACATACCCTTCTCCAAACACCTGATCTTTCACCAGCTGGCATTTTATACCTGACTAACCTTAGCTACATGTGGCTAATTCTATTCCTGCTCTCTAATGCTACCCTACAAGGYGTTTGCTGTCACTTCAAGGTGGAGCTTTATTTAGCATTCATTCTAAAGAATTCCTATATCTACGTCTTCATGGTCGAAAACTGCTGAACTGAAGTCCCTGCTGCCGTTTGCCTAATCTAAGAGCTAAACTTTTACACTTAAATGACAAATTATTTAGACGAGTGAAGACAGAAATGGTGAACCTAGTGACAATAAACAAATTAGTATGCTTTAACCTAACCATTAGTGTGTCTCRAGTGGAGGAGTTTTAAGTATCTTAGTGTCTTGTTTGTTGAGTGCTGGTAGGATGGATCGACATATTGGGGCCTTTTTCTCAGTAATGAGGATGTCGATTTGGTCAGTGAAGAAAGAGCTGAGTCSAAAGACAAAGCTCTCAATGAACTGRTCTGTCTACATTTCAACCTT